CCGCTTCCTCCTTCTCCACAGCTCCCCCTCCTCCTCCACCAGCTTCTCCCATCCTCCTCCACCACCTTCTCTCTTCTCCCCCTCCTCCTTCTCCACCAGCTTCTCCCCTCCTCCACAACCTTCTCCCTTCTCCCATCCTCCTCCACCAGCTCCCTTCTCCCCTTCCTCCTCCACCAGCTTCTCCCCCTCCTCCTTCTCCACCAGCTTCTCCCATCTTCCTTCTCCACCACCTTCTCTCTTCTCCCCTTCCTCCTTCTCCACCAGCTTCTCCCCCTCCACAACCTTCTCCCTTCTCCCCCTCCTCCTCCACCAGCTCCCTTCTCCCCCTCCTTATCCCATTCTCCCTTCTCCCCCTCCTCCTCCACCAGCTCCCTTCTCCCCTTCTCCCTTCTCCCCCTCCTCCTCCACCAGCTCCCTTCTCCCCCTCCTTCTCCTCTTCCTCCTTCTCCACCAGCTTCTCCCCTCCTTCTTCTCCACCAGCTTCTCCCCCTCCTCCACCACCTTCTCCCTTCTAAACTCCGCCGTGCGTATAGTCACTATACACCACTAGCTGGCACTGCACTGTGTACATACTACATAGTAACATCCGATTATGAATCATTGTTAGATTTTTGTACCTTGAATGAGAGATTTGATACAGCTATTGGCATAAAAATATTATCTATTACATTATATTATAATATAATATATATTACCATGGTTATCCATATTATTGCTATGTATCAAACAGACGCGGAGCGGGTTTGCTTCCTAAAATGGCGGACGTGGCGCTCCATTGCGTACTACACGTCATTGCACGTGATTTCGCATGAGTGCGTTTATCTTATTCACTCTACGATCTTTGGTGGTAACCTGAGTGTGCGAAGGGGGCGCTGCATGCAGTTTGGGCGGGGCTATCTCAGATATTTCGCACTCGTCAGATATTTGCCCGACATTCGGAGGTAGAAAAGTGTATTTGCGCCGAATTTTGTAGTACTAGTATTAGATTTCGTATTTATTTAGCATTTTATTTTATTGAAACGTTTCAAGTGCCTGTACCTTTACCTGGCTAATCGTTGAATTTTCTATGTCTGTTTATTCCCGGAGTAGCGCGCACAACACTCGCGAAGGCACCTGCACAGCCCATCACTTGTGCTCTATCACGTGACCAGCAACGATGGCGGCGCCCATCACGTAAATAAAGAGAATAGATTCGAACGTCTTATTTTCACGTTTATCAACGTAAAGCGTCGATTTTACGGACGGGATGCGTTTCGGTGCGAAGCCGTCATGTTCGTCCTGCGGTGCGGCTAACTCTCCCGTGTGGAAGAAGAACGAGAAGGGCGAGGTGACGTGTTTAACTTGCTTTAAAGGCGGCTGTGCCACGGACCTCGACGGCGGTACAAACACTACAAAACCCGCATCTGCTACCCTCCTTCACCAACAGTCACACGACAGCGAGTCGGCGGCGGGAGAGACCGACGGGAAGGGGAAGGAACAGCAGCAGCAGCAGACACAGCTTGCGACGAGGAAGAGCGCGCGATCCAGGCCAGCAAAGAAGGGCGGCGCCAGCACCAAGAGTAGCACGACGAAGGGGAAAAGCCGCCGCATCGTTCTCAAGAAGAACGTTAGTATATAACTAGACGGAGGGCACTCACGGAAAGTGCATACCTCCGCCAGCGACATCTGCTCGCTCGCTCGTAGCAGCCGCTTGTTGTTGCTGCTCGCTCACATGTACACGCTCGCTGGCTCGCTGCGCTGGCTGGCTCGCTGACTCGACGCGCTAATATCGATCACGCGAACACACCAACACACCAACACACGAGACCGATCACATAATTTCCTCCAACTCCGTTGGGCGGAGGTAATAACTAGCGGGAGAGATGCGTCACAGTGACGGCGGGACTCACAGCGACATCTCGCGCGTACGTAGATCGCACCGTCGCGACTCTCCAGGGTTCGGTGCTCAATCCCAGTTTGTAACCCCGGGCTTCATTTTCGCAAATGTGCTAAACTAATCCGAGGTGGTAAACTAGGATTGGGACGGGTTTGGTAGAGTTACATAGAATTAAGCGCGAGGACAGAAGGTGACGTGGGTACTTCGGCGCGATAGTCGGGCGCGCTCGCGGCTCTGTCCTACTGCGGGGCCCTCGTACATAAATCACCATCATCATCCTGATCCTTACCACAGCGTTAGCTTCTTGGGTCCAACAGCTGTGGTTTCCAGATGTTGTGCAATACTGCCTCACTGCATGCGTTTGATCTTCATTCTGATTCCAATTTATTACAAGATTTATCCATAAAATATTCTCTATCACTTCAATTGCAGCCAATCAAGGCACCAGCTGCGCAGGCTACAGTAATATCAAGCAGCTTTCTTTGGTACAAGGTAAGCTGCTCTTAACTCACTAATATGGCAAAGTCAGGTAGACCTGTGTTAGCGAACACATCTGTATAGAATAGACACCATGTGTGTATAGGGCACAATTAGGATGTCCCTCAAGTGTTTCTTACATAAGAGGTTTGACTTAACACGTGTTCTACACTTGCATCTCTTGAATCCAGAGAGACATGATACAAGATTGCGTGGCACAGCTTTGCTGTTGATTCTAAGCGCTCCGCGCGGATGAGACGCGCAGTTCCGCGGGATATGCGCACGCGACCGCGGGGATGTTCAAGTATGAAGCGCTGGCCGCAGTGGAGACGTGTGCCAAATTCGAGGCCCGGCGCACGTCTCCACAGTGGTCAGCGGATGGTCTGTAGTTTTAGAAGATGACAATGATTATATATGGACGATATTCTAGGAATTGGAGATTATAAAACAGTAACAAAAATCGCTTAGTCATGCTCCAGATTAGCTGAATCAAAAAGATTAAAATTTAATATGAACAAAACAAATACAATGGTTATAAAATTCACAAACAGAAAAGATAGAGAAGGAGACCAAGGCAACCAAGGCAATAGGCAACCAAGCCAATAGGCAACCAAGTAATAACAAAATGCACCAAATATTCATACCTAGGGGATTTAATTAATGATATAGGAGGTTATAACGATATGATAAGAGTCCGAACTGAAAAATGTTGATAATGAACCGTTTCATGATGAGCGAAATAATATTATTATCATGGGCAGAAGAGCAAAATTATGAAAATCGTGCTATAGAAGCAAGAGTGAAATTATAATAATGCACAATTTGACCTTCCTTCCTAAATAACAGTGAAACATGGACTAACTTAACTAAGGAAGAAGTAAAAATGTTGGAGGATTTCCAAAATGAGTGCCTGCGCAAAATAATAATCATAAAAATCATAAATAAATAATCAAAAGATCAAAGAGCGGTGCGGCGTAGGCTGGGATTGGAAGACACAAAGTGTCAATCCTCGGCGAGCCTTGGCATCATGGCCGCATCACGTCCAGCAAACTATGACCTATCACCAAACGAGTTTTGATAATGAAACGGTTTTAATTTACACGTTACTTTTAAACCATTTCGATCTGATCGCTCCGCGCTGCGTACACCTTACCTCATGTTTCCTCCCTCCGCGCGCGTGCGTGCACAGGGAGTCTACATGCAGGTGGGCGACGTCGTCTCTCTCGTTGACACGGACGACAACGCCACCTATTACGCACAGATCCGAGGCTTCCTGCAGGACCAGTATTGTGAGAAGAGCGCTGTGTTAACGTGGCTCATCCCGACGCAGGCCGCCGCCGCCGCCGCCGCGTCGCGCGAGCCGTTCGATGCCACCAAATACCTGCTTGGTACGTGTCTCCTCCTCACTGCAAACATGGCTTTGTGTGACTCGCGCTAACACGCCACAATCCCATCGTTAGGTCGGACTCATTACAGAGAATCGTAAAGGGAAGAGATTGTAGCACATTTCTACTGCTGCTCCTGCGAATATCCTTCCACCTTGCTCGTATCCCTAATGTTATAACGTTTAATCTCATGATGAAGCTGATATTCATTCATAATAATAACAAAGTTTTCGTAGAGTCGTCCACCCGTCATTATTATATATATACGTTAATAACGAAGTTTTCAAATAGTAGTCCACCTGTCATTATTATATATATACGTTAATAACGAAGTTTTCAAATAGTAGTCCACCCGTCATTATTATATATATATACGTTAATAACAAAGTTTTCAAATAGTAGTCCACCCGTCATTGTTATATATATACGTTAATAACGAAGTTTTCAAAGAGTCGTCCACCTGTCATTATTATATATTCGTTAATATCGAAGTTTTCAAAGAGTTGTCCACCTGTCATTGTTATATATTCATTAATAACGAAGTTTTCAAAGAATCGTCCACTAATCCATTGGCTGAGGGGGTCCCCATGTACACATTTTTCTTCATATCTTTGAACTATACCATTGGACATATCAAAAAAGTCTGGGTAGACTTTTGCTACCCCGGCAGTAACCGAGAAAATGACGTCATAAGCTACGCCTATTTTCCGCTCAGCTGGTTGTATGTTTCAGGGGTAGGGGAAACATAAATTGCTGTATCTTGGTGGTATATAAATCACAGAACAACAAAATATACCTTAAAATGTTTGTCTTTAAGTCATTTATAATACACACATAGATTTTGCAAATTAATATGCAAATGAGGTCACCAGAGGTCAAAAGGTCAAAAGAAACTTGTACAAGTAAAAATATTTCATTTTGACGATCACATGCTCCAAAAGAATCATAGAAAGTGTCATGTTTTGGTTTACCCAGCATGGATACTTCTGATTATTTCGTGTTTGACCAATAAACTTTTTAGGCCCATTTGTGTTACATAACTCAAAGAAAAAGAACATCAAAACACTTAAGTGCCCGAGGTTCAATTCCTAAATCATCGGCAGGAATGGCATTTATGTCTCATATCGAGCAAACGTAGACAAGTGCATGGTTTAGCTCAACAATTTAGCCCACCTTTTCACGTGACTAGTTTAATGTACCAGATGGATTTCGACGTTGCTCAGCTTCTTCAACAGACTGAACACTTGGGCATACGCAGAAACTAATGCAAGGCAGTCCTTTTTTGCGACATGCACATCTGACGCTGCCACATTTTTTGCAGTTGCAAATGACTGTGTATTCCTCAGGAATTGATCTCACAGCTTTCACAGGCACTAGAATTTAATATGCTTCCTTAAAGCCAAAGACAGTAGGATCTAGTTTCCTCGGTTTATGAGGTGGCAACAAAGTCATCATATGGTAGGTTGAGTAATATGCCCTCAGGATGTGCTGCTGTATTGCATGGCTAGTTGGGGAAAGTTGCTCCAACGATATACCTTTACTGTGATGGTACATGTAGTCTCTAAGTCTATCCATTGTCCTGCAATTGGTGTTCTTTTTGATGACTTGTACGAGGTACTCCTCACAGGATGTCATGATGGTCTCACTACAGCTTGTTCCATAATCAAAATCATTCAAGAACTCCGTAGGATTAACATTATTGAAGGCCGCATGCTTTGTTCCCACCTTGCTTGTATAGTCGCAACCAGTTAACGTATGGAGAAGTGGCAGCACATAGCACAACTCTACCCCGACTCTTGATGCTAAGGTGTGAACTGGGATGTATCTTGTCGAATCCCCAACACCAGCTCTGAGCCAGATTTCACTTAGGCCAATGGAGTGAAGAACATTTCAGTAGTGTATGAGAAGTATGAACACATCGGTGTCACTCGACAGGACAACAATTCGTCTTGCTCCGTTTTTTTACTGCATGCATTGCATGGGGGATTATGCGAGCATCAGCCTCTTCAATATCTTGACAAATTTCTGGTATTTCTGCTGAACAACCATCCTGAACTGACTGGCAGACAACAACGTCTGAGTCCCCAGAAAAGCCACTGGCTACAACTTGGAGTTTGGAAGGTTGCTCTATCCTGCTTCTTTATTGTGTGCTCATGAAGAAGCATCTGGAGCTTTAACTTATTTTCGCTTGATGCCCAAAATCTGTCCATCTCAACAGGCAGTGGTGTGTCGCAGTTGATTTTATTTTATTTTATTTGATATTTATCTTAATGGGTGCTTTCACTTGACGCCGCTTTCTCTCTGAATCTTTGATGGATCCTTCAACATAGGAATCAAAGATCAAGTCTGATCTGTCAGCCCCTCGACCGATTGCAGCGACGTAGTCCAGAAAATGTTCACAGAAGCCTCCGAATGTCCAAATGTCTTTTGTTTTTAGCTTTCTAATGTTGGCCATCACATCAACTAAACATGCTGTTTGCATTTTAGAGTCCTTTGCCGGCTCTCTCCCATCATCCTTTGTAAGTTTGGCTTCTAGTTCCTGTACCAGTGCACTTTTCACAGGTTTGGTCATCAGCCCTTCTTGATCAAACAAATAGGACGAAGGGGACACATCATATTGCAACAGCTCTTCCATTGTTTGTCCACGGGCACGCGCTATCTCAATCAATCTTTTCATATGGGAGTCTTCCTTTTTTTCCTGCGGATTTTCCTTTGACTTCTTTTTCTGGCCTATGGATGCTGAGAAACGTCTTCAGGTTGGTTCTATGGATGGTTGAGGAGAATCTCATTAACTTGTCAATAAATCGCTCCTTTCTAAGTGTGTCATAGGCTTTGGTTCCGATTTCTTTGACCAAAAGTAGCTGGCTTCTGATATCTTCAGACATGACTTCTTGGGTCAAAATGTTATGAAGTTTCACTTGGTCAGGAGTCAACTGGAACGGATTCTCATTCCGCTGTATTGTTGTAAGTATGTCTTGAACCTTTTGTTCCCCCGTTGCTATCATAGCTTTGCTGATAGCACTTTCCTCCGACAGGTTTATGGTCACTCCACACAAGTCCCTGTGCAAATTGTCGATGGCCAGCATTTCTTGGTAGATCAGCTCCCACACTGCTACGAACTTCTTCTTCCGGGTGTTGCCAATTATACCAGAGGCACTCTTTTGGGATCTATTTATGGTTTGTTCCAAGGTCATATCAGCCCCAACTGCATTGAACCTTCCAGGGGTTCGCTTCACCACAAATTTGCCTTCCTTAAATTCTTCAAAGATGAATGGTGCGGTTTCAGGTAGCTTCTGCATGTCCTCTAAATACAGCGAACACCATCTCAGGTAGTTGGTGGAATCAAAAGCTGCCATTACAGGAAGAAGGGCCTGAACTGCCTGGAGATGAAGATCCCAATTCCCCTACATCAAAGAAGGCATAGGGCCATCTGTTGGAGAAGAAATGAATGATTGAACAAATATGCCTTTCGATTTTTTACATTTCTTGATCTGATGTTGTATAACATTATGAAACATGAAAGGGTTAAAGATGCATATTGATAGGCTTGGGTGGATCTAATCTAAAGTGTTCATGCAGTATTTGTCTCAAAATTAGAAAATTGCCTACTATAGGCCACATTTTCTTGGACAAGGTCAGACTTTCACTTTGCACCAGAATTTGTGACCTTTTGACCTCATTTGCATATTAATTTGCATAATTAACATGCATAATTATAAAAGACTTAAATACAAACATTTTGAGGTATAGTTTGTTGTTCTATGATTTATATATACGGAGATAGATCAATTTAAGTTTCCCCTACCCATTAAGCATACAACCAGAGGAGCGAAAAATGGGCGTAGCTTATGACGTCATTTTCTCGGTTACTGCCGGGGTAGCAAAAGTCTACCCAGACTTTTTTGATATGTCCAATGGTATAGTTCAAAGATAGGAAGAAAAATTTAGGGGACATCTTATGCACACGGGAACCCCCTCAGCCAATGGACTACACCTGTTATTATTATATATTCATTAATAACGAAGTTTTCAATGAGTAGTCCACCCGTCATTATTATATATTCGTTAATAACGCAGTTTTACTCGTCAACCCATCAGAACATTCGTTATTAACCGTAACGTGACAGCATTACCAACCCGTCAGTACAGTTGTTACTAATGAGACAGCGTTAACGACCCATCGGTCGTCTGCAACATTAACGTGAACGTCGTCTGTGTAGGTCCGTCCGAGGACGTGCCACGCAAGCTAGAGTGCATGCAGTTCGTCTGCCACGCGCCGGCCGACTACTTTGTGCTGCGGACGCCGCACCCGGGCGCCACGCCACGTCCGCACGCCGGCTACATGTGCGCGAGGATCGCCCCTTGCAGACTCCGCCCCCCGCATGCCAAGCAGACGATGACGGACGCCATGGCGACGGGAGACTCGCCCGCCGCAGTCAATGTGGACGACACGGCGGAACAGACGACAGCCGGGAACGACACGCATGTCACTGTACTGGGGGAGGGTTAGTTAGGGGGGAGGAATTAGAAGGGGAGGGGGGTTAGAAGGGGGGAGGGTTATGGTTGGATGTGCGGCCGAGGGCATACGTACACGGAAAACTCATGGCACAAGTGTAGATATTGTTTCGACATTGCTGTTTGCAATGTAGTATTCACATTAAAGTTAATAACCCATGACAACGAAAATGACAATCCGAATGAAGTGATAAAGACTATGTTGTATTTAAAATCGCTTGGCAAATGTAGATTTGTTGACACTGAGAGGCTGAACATATGCTGGAACAGTCTTTGAATAATCAATTTCATCGTAAGTTGTCATGAATAATCGCTTGGAATCGGAGACAAGTTTTGCTGAATATACATCGTTTGCTAACAAAGTAATTCTGGCTTCGTCTCACTTTTGTAAAATCAAAAAGATAAATAACATAATCAAGATAAAATAAACATCAGTCGTCATAAGACTTTACAAACGTTAAATATTCATCACAGTGAAGGTAACAAGAATTCCCTGCTCAGCAAAGCTGCATCAATACTAGGCTATTCCATACAATTCCACAGATTTGCTCTACATTCTACAATGACATACATGCTAAGAATATCCAATTTAATTTTAGTTATTTTATACATAGCAATTATGGGAAAGGCTTATTGTAGTTGTTAAATTATACAAAGTAGTATGGGCACTTACTACTTTATAGCTAGTCACTTAAACAGTGAAAACACAACCCATAATTTCAATATTCTTTCTCATATACTCTTGTAATGTTGTTTGTTACACCAGCGTGTATATATAGTATAATATATTATATATTATAGATATGTGCTTATAATCATACCTCACACTTCGTATCTGGCTATATGTACGTATTACATGTACGTAAAATACAAAAATATAGAACGTGTGAATTTGGAGGTGGAACAAAACGCAGCAAGCTTGCTCAGAGTAGTAAGCTATGAACTAAACAAGGTGCGTTAAGAAATGAATGCACCATGAAAAAAAAAACACGCCTACGAAAAAAGTAAAAATCCATGTGGCCACATCATTATCACACAATTACTTAGAACTTCAGCCAGAAAACTGTAACGTTTACAATCAACAAGGCGACAATTGAATCTCGAACACATACCTCGCGACTATACGTTAACCTTGGGATCGCTCTTACCCGTATGTAGCGTAAACAAGCGAGTGCTGACGACATTCTCATATCACCTCACACCGTGCAGTGGCGCCACCTAGTTTTAGGCATTTTTGACAACCATCGGGATGTAGAGTTCTCAGATCGTCCCGCACACAGCGAGGTGGTGCCACCTAGTTTTGGGCATTTTTGATAATCATGAGCAGGTATAGGAATAGGTTGATGATGTCCAGATAGAGGTTGAGGGCAGCGAAGACATATTCCTCCGGTGAGAGCGAGTACTTGTGCTTGCCTCCAATCATCAGCTGGGTGTCAATGACTAGATACTGAAAGCAGGCAGGCAAGCAGGACCGAGTCAAATACAATTAATACAACTTGCGTAATAAAATATGAGTAACATCACAAACACATTGTTACTAAAGTATAGATATGTTCAGGCTGATCTGAACGCTGACACCGGCAGGCAGGACCGACTAGTTATATTTTTTAACTCTCCTTGCATTGAGATTTTAAACTAATTATGCACTGCCATAACTGATCTTGACAATATGTCTAATGCTAGTCAAATTGGTCAAGTTATGACTATCATACATACACAATATAAGCAAGTGCGTACACTGTAGTGATGTTCTAAATTTACATCAATCACAAACTGAATCTTTCATAATTTAAACGCATCGACGTCAGACTAGCACATACAAAGCAGTAATATGTAACAACATGTACCATGGGAGATAGAGAGAGAAACATCAAGGTTCACTTACCCCAGCGAAGATGAGTGCACCCAGGCTAGCATATACGAGATTCACAATCTGCAACAACAAGCCATTACAGGAGGCGGTGACGATGCAATGTGTGATTACAGCGTATAGTATGAGCTGCTAAGTATCTACAGCTGCAGCGTCTCAATCATTACTGCTAAACTCTACACACAAACTACTTGCATTGCATTCGCCTCATCGTGACCAACGTTAATAATTTACTTGCAACAACGCCATCTCGCTAGTTTGTAAGTAAGACATACCTGTCTAACAGCTGCCTTCATGATGCGAACGAAGAAGAGAGGAGACGAGAAAAGAGCAGAGGAGACTGGAGGAAAAGGGAGGAGAGAGGATGGGAATGAAGAGGACAGGAGAGGAGAGGGAAGGGAAATAAAATAGTAGAGTAGAGGAGACAGAAAAGAAGAAAAGACAGGAGATGAGACGAGAGTAGGCATTGCGTGTAACTGTCGGTGCATCTCACCCTGTCGTTGAAGATAATTGCAAAGATGCCAAAGATAAGGAGCACTACGACAGCCACGAGCATCAGACCTGTCATTACCGTGAAGTCTATCTACAGCAAGATAAAACCAAACACACATCAACACAGCCATCACGTTTCACGCAAGTACAGACCCATCTGCCTTAGTGAGTCTTTTTTATGTATATGCACGCCAGTAGTTTGGTATTAAGTCTTTAGAACACCTTGTCACAACAATGATTTTCTAATCTCCATGTCAGTCGGATAGATAAAATTGCGTTGTCCAGCCCGTCGCAAAATGAACATTTTCCACAAGCAACGGATGGCACTCTTTCTTTCTCTCTCTCTCACTCTCTCTCTCTCTCTCTATCTCTCTCTCACTCTCTCACTCTCTTACTCTCTC